TTTGAATGTATGATAAAGGAGTTAGATTTAGTTTCACAAACAGATTAAGTCAGTTAAGTCAGAGGCATTTCAGTGTCCATGGTCATTTGTATTTCAAGACTATGTCACTGAGTCACTTTTCATTGCACTTTTCACTCCAAACAACTGGCTTTTAACATGACTTTAATTGGAGTAGGATATCAGTTTCTTCACTGAAATGCTGACACTGTTTCTGAATGCCAGTTGGATTCTTTAAAGGGATCAACCCAGCATCCATAGAATGGTACTTTTGCCTCAAGTAGCCTTGGCATTTTCATTTACCTTTGAGATTGTCCCTAGCCACTCATCTGCCAAGGTTACAGATGGTAAGAGACAACACTAGACAGCATTGCAGAGCAGTTCTGAGCACACTCTTTGGGATCAGACTAAACAATTGAGAGTTCAGGTTCTGACCTTGCTACTGACAAGTCATGTAATCCTAGATGGATTATTTTATTTCTCCAAACCTGACTTTATGATCCATGAAATACTTTTGCACTATACTAAATCCACAATAAACCATGAGTAACTACAACTATTATTGTTGTCTTATAATAAACCTTAGACATTATTTTCAAGAAATTCACAGGCTATTATAAGTTGATCAGAGGCTTAGAGATAATTTAACACATCACCCTCCCTTTGTAGATCACATGGATCAGGTGGGTGAAGTCACATAGCAGAGCTAAGACTAGGACACAGGATTCTTTTCCAGTCAGCCATGCAGTTCTCAGATCTCACAGGAGATGACAAATAATAGATAATAGCTTACTTTGACCAGTTGCAGAAAGAGAGGGCCAATAACAACCCAGAGAAGTTTGGCTTTGTGTGAGCTGGGGCTCTGGGGAGGCCTGTGATGGTTCCCAAAGGAGACAGATTCAGGAAAAAGAGGAAGAACAGGCAGGTGCTGCCAGTGGCTGGTGTCACTTGGTCTCATTAGGGAAAGTCACCAAGCAGATCACTGATAGGATTGGAATTCCCATCACATAAAATCCCATCATATAAAATTCTTTCATCTGAAGGGAGCAGCACTAATGTGGACTGTGCTGATGTTACCTTGGTTGAGGTTCCCCACTCATCAACAATGGGGTATAATAAGCAGCCTAGAGAGCCTATTACTGAGTTGGCAAACAAAGATCCACAGGCCAAGTCCAGATCAGAGACCAACCGATTAGATCAGAGCACATTCATTCATATAGATAGGCCTATTGTTACTTTATGGTATAATGGCAGAGCTGAGAAGACTCTTTGAATAGACCCAAAGTCCCCAGAGCCTCTCTACTACCTGTTTTTTCATACAAAAAGGTTTTCCAACATGTGGGACAGAAATTTATCAGTTGTTTAAGAGAAGAAGACCCTCTCCAGGGCAAAGGAGAATAAACTGATTCCTTCAGGATATTTTTGTGGGTTGGTTGAGATCTAATTAATACAATAGCGGAAGGGGGTAGATTTTAAATCTGCTTGCAGTTCAAAGGCCATATCTTCTTCAGGGTGGATGTGAAAGACAATTGTCCAACTTTTCTAAGGGTGCATGTAATTTTGATCTGCCTCTATTCTGGTATGAAGAGCAAACAGAGCCACTTGAACGGACATTTCATGCATTACTTAGACATCTAAATGTGTCACCCCTTAAGGAATGTGTACATTAGAAACCAGACACTTTCCACACATTACTTTGCATCCTCATTATAACTATCTTCTAAAGTAATATGCTGTTCCTATTTTACAGAAAGGTAAACTAAGGGTAGACTAAAGTCACAAGTTTTGCAACTGTTTGACACTGTGTTTTCTAATACATGCAGGTTCAGTGACTCAACACTTAAAATGCCTGTCTGTAGAAATGATGGTTGCAAGTAGTTTAAGTACATCCAAGGCAAGCCAAATAGTCATGTCATTGCTTCTAGAAGTTTGTACTAACTACCTGTAAGATACTCATTGTTTAGAAAATATTGCATATGTTGCCACCTTCGTAAAAATTACGATGCCATTAACAAGTTATTGACTGAGAAATTTTCCCAAAAACTTAGTTATGGAAACTTTTAATCTAGTTAACAGCATTCTGCAAAACTGGTACACCAAGGGACACATTTTGAGCACTGTTGAAATAGATGACAATGGTGGTTATGATGATGATAACTGATGATAACTGCCATTATTAAGCAATTGCTACGATCCACACTGGCCTAATCATTTACATGTATTAAATTCACTTTACCCTCACAGAAATAAGGTACTGTTATTAATCCTGTTCTTGACAGAATTAAAACCTGAGGCACAAAGAGAACAAACAACTTGCCCCAAGTCAGGAAGCTAACACATTGTGGGGACCATGAGCTTCTCGAACACTGGACTCACACATTAACTCATCTTTGTGTGCTCCACATACTTAGGGCAGTACCTGGTACATATTATACACCCAGGAAATGACAGCTGAACTGAATTAGATAACAAGGTTCTAATAAAATGATGCAACTAGAGTGTTTTGGACAAAGCACTTAAGAACTTTAAATGATATTTACACAATTAGGTACTCCCTCATTAATCTGAGTTTTCTATTTGTGCCAGAGAGGACCATTATCTAGATAATGGTCTTCCTATAAGCCATTTTGTATAGTGCACCATTTTTCATATTTTATCTAATGTGCCCCACTTGAAGGTTAATGCAATGATGATAGGAAAATATCAGCTAGTGCTGGTCCTATTTAACCACAAGAAATAATATTTCATTTGAAGGTACAGTAAACTGGTTTTTTTGTGTGGCATAAAATACAACAGAAGAGGCAAAGCCACATCCACAAGGAACCACTGTAATGCCCTTGCTAGGAAAGTGGATGGATATTTTTACAATGCAGCATAATGAAAGCTATGGAGAATAATCAATAGCAGCTTTTTAAATATTACAGATGTAAAAATACATCAAGGTCAAAATGAGTACACGAAATCCCGATGAATTTTCAGTGTAGATTTCAGTGAGCCCTAAGTGCATTAAGGAAGAAAAATCAACATGCTTTCATTTTTTAAAGGAAAAGAAGCAAAAGAAGACCATGTGTTTGTGTGCTGCGAGATGAAAAAGGAAATCTCATGTTTAGCATTTCAGGAGACTTACATGCAATGATAAAATGGTAATATTTTGCATAACTCTGGCATAAATCATTCCTGAATGATCCTAATTATTTTTTATCTTTAATGAGGACTTTCTCTGCTGCTTTCCGCATCTTATACATGTAGACCTAGATGATGATCTGCATTTCACATATGCAGAAATGGAAGCATGGAAAGGAAAAGCGATTTTCCCATGATCCTCACCAACACAAGATGGCAATATGATTCCAGAATCCAAGCTACTGTTTATTCACTGGGTAAAAGAGAAGATTCAAAGGCTCAAAGACTTCACATGTCTGGGAGACAAAATAATTACCACTGTCACTGGCAGGATATGTCAGAGACTCATGAGGTAGTCACCACCAGACTAATTGTCACAATGTGGAATGGAATCCTTGCCAAATGCATAGGTCCCTCCTTGGTGGCTTGTTTAGCGAAAGGTTTCCAGAGGTTGTTATGCATCCTGCCACTTAAGAACCCTCATCAATTTAAGGATATGCATAAGTCATGACAAGTAAAGATCTGTCCCTCCACCCAACTCTACCACCAGTGTGTGCTAGGGTTTCTAAAACCTGTAATGATGTGTTCACAGTCCAGCCACTGCACTCCACCTCCCTTCAAAGCTTGGTCAACCATTTGTGATTGTGTTTATGCACCGTGGAAGGTGCATCAGAGCTAAATTATTCAGGGACTGCTTCATGTCTTGAAATATTCAGAAAAAGTTCAGGAAGAAAAAAATTCCTTTGGCAAAACACAAATGGGCTCTGCATTGAAGGAAAGGAAAGATGAAATCATACAATAAAGCATTGTGCCCAGAGTCTCAGGGTGAGAGTCATTTGCGAGTCAAATACAGAGCCCTTAATAAAATATCAAATTAAGTATGGAGTAAAAACAAATACTGAAAGTTATTCTCATAATCATATTTTTGTTTCAAACTGCCTGCTTCCCTCTTCCTGTTTTGTAGATGACACTTAAGTCAATTTAAACAAACCAAAGAATTTCTTTGCTTGGGTGGCATTAGAAGAATTAATAACATATGGACTTTAAAAGATAAATAGTCAAGATGTGGGAAAAACACTTGACTACAAAAAGGTATTATTTAAAGAAAGATTCATTTTATTTTATTTTATTTTATTTTATTAGTCCTGGGGATTGAATCCAAGGCCTTACGATACCAACAAGTATTCTAACATTGAGCTACCTCCCTGTCCCCAAAGAAGAATTTGAAACAAATGAATCAACCTTGCTACCTATTCATCTATCCATATATCAATTGGGTATAAAAATGAAATTTTGATATTTTGTCTTTCATCAATGAGTACATAAAAACTCATATATCAAAAATATTACATTTTGGGGCTGGGGATTTAGCTCAGCGGCATAAGCGCCTGCCTTGCAAGCAGGCAGTCGTGAGTTCAATCCCCGGTACCGATAAAAAGGAAAAAGACCAAAAAAAAAAAAATTACATTTTTAAATTAACATATGATAATTGCAAATATTTATGGTGTATAGTATATGTTAACAGTACAGTATTTTAATACAAGAATGCAATGTGAACTGATTGAAAGTAATTGGCATTTCTCTTTCCTTATCATTGCTTTATGTTTGAAGTCTTTGAGCTCCTCCTTTCTAGGTCTTCATAAAATACATAATAGGTTATTGTGAACACACTATATTTTTGTGAAAGACAATTCTCATTCATAAAATTTAGAACATTTATATAAACATAACTTCTCTTTTCTCCATTGTGCCTAACTGGTACTTCACAAGTCTTATAAAAAGAAACTTTCTTTTCTTCTTGAGTTTAAACATCAGTTAGGGGTGAGCAATCAGGTCAGAAGTCACAGAGCTGACACTAAAACACAAATACGTTTACTTACCTGGATGGCTCTGACATTGGAAACTGGCTGTTTTGACATATTCACGCAGTCTTAACCCTAAAAAATAGAAGTAAGAAACTATAGAGGCGGCAGAATTCAGATTCTCAGTCTTGATAAATTAGAATTTAACTCATGATTCAACTGGGCAGTCACCCCTTTCTCTGGCCATATATTCTTTCAGTCTCAGTTTCCAAAGTTACTTAGAGACTCTCCTTCCAAATGCCTTGGGGATAGAGAAACACTAGAGCACCCCGATAAATCATTCAGGAGGAGAAATGCTGAGATGCCTCACCCCTGATGCTAATGATAGGCGATCAGAAACTTGAAAGGCCCTATCACCTCCTTCCCTGCCCTCTTACTCCTTTGCCAAGAGCAGCAAAACAAAGAGGTGGTGGGAATAAAACACTTTTGTTCAGGCTTCAGAGCCTCTCTACTTGCAACTGAACTTTTGATCTGAAATCGTTGCTGTCAGAGTGCTTAGTCAGTTCACTGGAAGTGCCTGCTCTTTGTTGAGCAAACCAAAAAGAACTAGCCTGTATTGTGTCCCTACTACTGCAACGCTCTTCACTCGAGTCTCTTCTCCCAGCTCTGTGTGTCCCATCCAGACCCTCTGCAGGGTGCCTCATACAGAGCCAAGATATAAAACACAGACAGCAGAACATGGCTTGCCTGTCCCTCTTTTTTCAACAGAACAGTGCCAGAAGGCACGGGGACTTCTGCGAGCACGCAGATCCCCAAGATGTACAGGTGCTTTCCTCTTAAAAGACTTTTTTGTTTTCTTTTAACACACAAGGCCTGATTAAGATACTGTGAATGAAAACTTTTGGGGACATAGATTATGTTTTAATGCAGCTAACAGAACACGGAATAATATATCAGCTCTGGCCTGTTTGTATAGCTTTGTGTGTATTAAACATTGACAGGACCAAATTAAAAGTTAAATATTCATTGAATTGAAAAAAACACATTGTGTTCTAAACCCAAACTATAAAGTAGGTTGACTGAGTTCTTTTTCATGGCTGATAAGTGTATACATTAATACATGAGTAATTGAACACAGAGAGGAGTGTCGGCAACTGTCACAAGTCCTAGGTCACCTGGGCAGTGTTACTCAACATTTCTAAGCCCAATTCGTCTTCCTTAGATTATTTCAACCTGTTTCATAGGTTGCAATAATAATTAAAATAATGCAGTGCTGCTGAAAAGGCCTTGTGAACTATAAACTGTGAGGCAGATAATTAATGTTTTGTTGCCGTTATTAGCCCTCAGCTAAAAGCTTGAGTCTTCTGCTGATCTGTAGCCTTAAGTATAGAGGAGAACTGATGTAGCAATGCCCCTTAACACCTATAGCGACAAAAGATCTATGAATTCTATGAAAAACTTAGTTTTGTTTTCCTTTTAGATCTTTAAATCCTAAGCTCTATTATATGAATTTAAACAATTCGTGTCTTTTAAAACTTCCAAGACTCAGGATATAGCCCAGTAATAGAGAGCTTGCCTAGCATGCATGAGATACTGGGTTTAATCCCGGCACTGAAACAAATCAAAACCAAAAACTCCTCTGTACTTAGTGAATTCAAGTATAGAGTTTGAAGAGCTATATACAGGAAAGCAACAATTTTTTTTAAAGTTTCAGTTTACTATTTTGGTAATACAAAGATGTAGCCTCCACATATAAGGCTCTGGATAGAATTATTTTAATATGGTTAAAAAATTAAATAGCAATAATAAATCGAGCATTCAAGGACACATTGTGCTCTATGAAATTTATCAGATAGATAGCTGTATCTCCTGCTGTGTCAAAGAGAAATGAAAGATTTTTAATTTTTGTATCTAGGGCACACAGCCCAATTCCAAAATGAATATCTTAGTGTCATAATTTGTAATGTTTCTATTCCTCAAAAGCTAATGAAGTCATGTAAAGCAAAAATTCTCACAGGACTTTAAATATCTCAGTATAAACTGTTCCCTGTATGGACAACTAAGGTTTAATTAGTTAGAAACTTTAAAAAAGTTACTGAACTTAAAGTATGGGAATTAGGAAATTTCTTTATGTTATTGCAATAAATGAATGAATGGTTTAAAAAAGTAAGCAATCAATTATTGGGTTACTTATATTGCTTTGATTTAAAAAATAAGCCGATTTTGTTTTTTCACTGATGATGAACTAACTTCTGGATTGCCGTGGGATTTTTTTGGAAAACTCTGAACCTAAGTGATGGATGGGTCTTATCTCCTGTGCAGAATTACATTCATATGTAAATCTCATTTGCATATGAATTTATTAACGTCCATATCAATCTTTAATGCAAACATCTAGAGAAAGTTGGTTAGCTCCTAGCTCTCATTCCTCACAAACAGGCTAGAGAACATTTCTGTAAATCAGTCCAGCAGCAGTTCTTGCTGTCCCCATTATTTGTGGAGAAATCAGGGCAAAGCACACTGATGAATAAAAATAGACAGTGTTCCCTGGTTGTTTCCTTAGCCCTGCATTCACCTCCATCATGGAGGTAGAGTGTGGGAGGTGCCTACCCTTTTTATCTGCGTACTTCTTCTAGGGACCAGAAAAAGAAATCTATGCCTTAGATACACACTCCCCTCCCACTGAGGCCACTGTGTTTCATCCAAGATGTACTCTTTACAGCACTTGATTACTCTGTCTCCTGGCTCTGGCTAAAATTTGAAAACATCGAAAGTTTGACAAGGCATGTATTGACTTTTACAAAACCTATAGTATAATGGAGATGCTTGCCAGATCTGCACAGTTGAGTTTTCTTGGCAGTTCTGCTAGTCTGTGGGGACTTTTAATGGTCTGTCTGCTGAGTCATTTACAATATACCCCCATTTCGTTTTGAGTGGGCAGCATCTAATATCTAACTTCTAAATAAAACTCTTTGACTTACTAAAACTTTGTCAACATTAATGTCACTAATTTAATAAGCAAGGATTCAGAGGCAAATAAATCAATATTTGGAAATAAAAGCTTTGTTTGTTCTTTTTAAAGGTCAAGTAAATGGATAAAGCTCCATCTCAAAGGGAATTATCTTCTGTCCTGCAGCTAAAAATAATTTCTGAGAAGGGTGTAGAAAGATGGTCAGCTGTCTGAACTAACTTTATTTACTCTTCCTTAAATATGCTGGGACAGAAGATAGTCCCTTTGTGGTCCCATGCCTCAGACTTTGTTGTCCACATTAGGACAGGGACAAGGAGTGCTGCCCTCTACCCATCTGGGTACAGGAAAACTGTTACAGTGCGAAACTGTCCCCAAAAAAGGTTTTATCAATGCACAAAGTATTGATAGAACTTCACAGTGAACCCAAACCTGGAATTCAGAGAAAGAAAAACATCCTAAACTTGTGTTATATAACAACGCTGGCAATAATTTGCATGTCAGTAAACCAAAAGACTAGCATTATAGCTTTTCTCTGCCCCCAATCTGATTACTTCCAAACTCAGAGCCCAAATCGGTCTTTAGCTGACAGACTATAATGCTGGTCACCACAGCTTCAAGGTCACAGTTATCATATCTGGACTGTGAATATTTTATTAAGATCACCATCAATGAATGCTACCATTAGCTCAGTATTTCTTCAGTAACTCTCTCAGGCATACAATTTATAAGACAGAAGTAGCAATATCACAAGGGGACAAGGAATCAACAAAGAAGCTGCAGCCACTGGTCACAAGCCTACAAAGTTATAAGTAGTCACTTAAGTTAAACATCAAGGAAATTTCCTTTAGAAAGCCCAGTTGCCAGAGCTGGCTCTTTCTGCTTACCTGCTTTCTGTATTTGTTTACTGCCTGAGGAAAGTCCCAGGTAGCCAGGTGCAAGAATACAAAGCTCCTTGGAGGGTGGAAGGGACGCCGGGTGTCCTCTGAGCTGTGATCTCAATTCTGATGCTTTTCATGTGGCTGAAATAGCTCAAGTGCTCTGTATCTCTCCCGGTACTGAAAGCTGCTCCTGGCTTGGGGCTGAAGGAAAACTCAGTTTAAGGGTAAGTGTTAAAGAGAATTCCTGTCATAGCTCACAGTTGTTCTTCCTAAATATAGAGTTTGATACAAGCCATATGCTGGCTGCCTCTGAAAGGCTTGACCGTGGGGAAAGCAGGGCTCAAGTATCAGCCAGGAGGTGGCTACAGTATCTTACTGTCCTCCTAATCTTCCGGAAGAGACTGGCTACATTTCCTCACATATTCTGATGGGGTATAATAAACTTTAGAAAGTAGGAAAACAATCTATCTTTAGCTTCATTACCTGGAGGCCACAAGATAAAAAGTGTTCAGTAAAAACTGGGAGAAGTCAGCAGGGATACTGATGTCCAACAATCCTAGCTTGGTCGGTTGAGAACTGCTTGACTCAGTTCTAAATAAATAGTCACCAAATGCCAAATGATGATCATTATACCTTTTCATGGAACTATACAGCACTGTCTTTTTTTTTTTTTTTTTTGTAGATCAAAATGGTTGAAGATGGGCCAGCAGGTGTGATTGCCCAGCGAAGGTCCTTGTTCACTCTGCTCTACTGGTAGCATTCCTTTCAACTCCTGAAAGAAAGAGAGGACAGGATGGGACAGGATGGAACACAACAGAAGGAAAAATATCTACTTTAACTATGACAAAAGCTAGGACCAGATACCAGGCAAAACATTTTTTAAAAAACAGAACACACCAAATCCTAAAACACATACTAATTTTTAACTTTTCAACTTCTCCCATCTCCCTCTCATCTTTACATAAAATATCCCTTTAGTGGAAATATTCAAAAAAGTGCACAGATATAAAAACTACCCACTGAACAAAAATGAGCCCCGCATCCAAATCCCTGATAGAATTGTTGATCTGCTGAACTCTGACCCGTAACCATCACCCAGCAATCTTCTTGTAATGTGAGGGAAAGACGCTTCCATTTCTATGAGTCTCTAAAGTCAGGTTTGTATTCCCTGAAGTTGAGGGCATTTCAAACAGAAGTAGTTGGCTTGTTTTGAAGCCTCTCAAAATTAAAAAAAAATATTTTGAGGGAGTTTATTCCATGGTATAAGATCATATAGCACTAAAAGTGAGTTATTTATACACTGGAGAAGAGAATATAATGAGACTATAGAATATAGGACAATTAGCCACATATATGTGTTCAGACAAATGGCAGTATCACACCGTGGGCCAACAGCAATGAGCCATTTTTGACCCTTTGCCCCATGGTCAGACCCCACATTTCACCAAAGTTCTTTGGCTCCAATGACTGCGTTAGGAGCCAGTGAGGGAGAATATACCAAAGAAAATGCTCCTGGTAGCAATGCCTTGTGCACAGAGCAGCCCGATGTGGGAAGAGCTGAGGTGAGTTGAACAGCAAGGATGCCATGTTCCAAAATGGCAGAAACTAGTCGTGCACCATGGCACATGCCTGAAATTCCAGCTATTTGGGAGGCCGAGGCAGTAAGAAGATCACAAGTTGAAAGCCAGTCTGGTCAGTTTAGCAAGACTCTGTCTCAAAGTTAAAAGCATTTAAAAAGGGTTGGAGATGTAGCTCAGTGATAGAACATTTATATAGCATTGTGAGGGACTAGGTTCAATTCTCAGGTTTAATGAGCCCCAAAAGAACTAGTTTAGGTAACTGGGCCGGGGGTGTTGATGCCTTCCTCAGTACTGCTTCTGCCTCCTGAGTTCTTCTACAGCTGTAGACAGTCTCTAGAACACTGTCCGCCTTGTAGGTCAAAAGGCTGCATCACAGCCAGGCACGCCGGTGCATACCTGTCATCCAGCACTCTGGGAGGCTGAGGCAAGATCACTTAAGTTCAAGCCGAGCCTGGGCAATTTAGTGACTTAGTAAGATTGTGTCTCAGAATAAAATATAAAAATAAGACTGTGGGTATAGCTCAGTGCAAAGTTCCGAGGTTTAATCCCCAGTCCGCCCTTCCCCCCCCAAAAAAAAAAAAAAAAAACTGCAACACATTTTTCCTGTGCATTAGGGCTTTCTTCATCATGACAAGCAGCAGGCACAACCATAAAGTGCCAAGAAGCAACAGCCTTAGGGACAAGCCTCAATAAATGGGGACAGAAGTCAGATAATGAATACCTCTACCTCCTCATCCTTTGGTCAGGTAATTCTGAGTTTCGGTCTGTGGTTTCTCAGAGGTCTCCAGTAGAATTGAGCTCCACTCCCCCACAGTGGGGGTCTTCTTACGAATGTACCCTTATTGGCTTTCTCCTATTCCTCCCTTTCTCCCCCACTCCCTGGCTTTTGTTCCCTAGGATTACTTCCTACTCCAAGTAAACTACCTACAACTACCTAAGCCCCTGTCTCAAGGTATAGTCTCTGGGTAAAGGCTTCCCTGGGAAGGTTTCCTATTGTGATAGGAAGTGTAGGAGTACACTTCAGGAGGCAGGTGGGCCTCAGAATAACTAGGATTCATATTGTGCTAGAGTGGTGAGTCTATTTCTCCAACTCCAGTTTTAAAAGTTTCTAGGTTCTGGTTGGCCCATCCGAAGTCAGCCACTTAATCCTTGCCAAGATCAAGGCTACACAGCAGAGAGGAGGCCTTGGGGTATACCCATGTGCTTTAGGTCCTTTCCAGAGGGAATAGTCAAGGTCTCTAAGAAGCATCAAGAACGCAAGTGCTTTCCTTGACCACTTGCCAAGGTCGCCTGAAACTGCTACTATTGTTGATAGTTTAAGGCCTTCATAAAAACAGACACATTCTCTGTGGGGAGGGTAACAAAGGAAGTCCCTGACACAGAACAACATGTCAGGTTAGCAATGAGGACTCAAGATGAGTCTGTTTCTTATTGGGATGGTAAAGACGCAATAAGAAATGGAAAAAGTATGGAAAGGGGATGCGGAGGGTTCTGGGCACTGAGGGGAAAGCTTGAGAGCTTTGAGCATATTTCACCTAAGGGTAGGATATAGGATTGTTGCTAAGAACAAAATTCAACAAAGTCCCTCCTATCTACATGTCTTTATCACCCTTCCACTAGAGTCAAAAAGCATTAGGATATTTAATAACCCATCAAATCTATATAGTCTTTGTTCAGTTGCAAAATACTCTCATTTGTATCTATTTAATCCTCACATAAGTTAAATGGTATTATTTCCAATTTATAGGTTAATCAAGTCTCAGACTATTATTTCTGAGCTAGCTGCCTCCAGTTTCTGACCCTCAGATTTTGGGCTTTCCAGTTATAACAAAGTGCCCTCACCGGAATACGCTCACATAAGCATATGTAACTACAGAAGCAGTTAGAATGCATTTGGCTGCAATTAACAGAACACTTGACTAGCAGTAGCTCAAATAATAGTCATCTTTTCACAAATCTAGGTACCTAGAAGGAGGTAGTTCAGGGCCATTTCAGAAATTCTATATAAGTTAAAAAGACTCAGACTTTGTTGTTCTTTAACTCTATCCTTCTCAACAAATCAACTTTTCATCTTCCTGCTTCTTCTCTCCATATTCCCAAGACAGCTGCCACAGCTATAGAAATCAAGATCTTTCGTGTACATTAAAATAAGAAGAAACAGTAGCGTAAGTGGGAGCGGGGACTTTTCTTCTCAAGGAGAGAACTCTTTCCCAGAAACCTCTAGCCAACTTCCTGTCACATCTTGTTGACTGGAACTGTGTGTCATGGTTGCAAAAGAAGCTAAGAAATAAATTAATGGCAGAGGGTGAATGGAATAAAAATGATTAAGATCAAACACATAAAATTAGAATGTTCTTAGCCACAAAGAAGAGGATAACAGCAGTAATATAAATAAGATGTTGTTATGGATTAAGAACTGGTGGTCCACTTAACACCAGCTGAATTAAATCAGCAGGGCACTGAGTGTAGATGTTCCACCTGAGGAAAGTTTCCAGCATAAATAGAGACATGGAGAAAGAGAAGCTATGGCATTGAGGCGTTGTGGGTTCTCCTACGTGTTGCTGTTTGAGCTGTTAAATCTCCTGGAGAAGCTCTGGTCCTCACATTGAGTATTGCTTCCTGGCTCCAGAGGGGAAGACATGTGCCGCTTAGTCTCCAGGATGAACTCATCACACTGGCTTCCTGGCAGGTACTCCACTGTGCTTATCTTCAGAGGAGCTTGTGGCCTCTGTGTCGCTGAGGATGGCTGTGGTGCTTTTCAGGATAGCCCTGGCCTTTGTTTTGAGTGTGACCTCTTGGCTCCAGCATAGAACCCTCAACCTATCAGCATAGCTCCTTCACCCCACTGGGTGGGGTAAGTATGTTGCTCAGTTATTACACAGCTGGTTTATTTTTTGTGCCCCAGATTTTTAACTGTGATTATAGCTAAATAATATGGCTTTAAAAATGTGTCCTAAGTTGCACAATTTGTATACCGCCATGTCACTTTGAAGGTGTGACCCAAAGTGTGGGTATCAGTGATTATAATAAAGACAGATGATGACAAGTTTTAGAAAAGATGTGGTAGGAAAGGACAATGGTAAAGGTACTTTGGAAATGAATCTGGAAGTGCCTCAAAAGATTAAACATTGTCTCCAAATAACCCAAAATGCTTCTTCTTCAAGCTAGTTTTGGCTATTCTAAGTTTCTTGCATTTCCATGTGAAATTTGGGGCCATCTTATCAATTTCATCAGTAAAACAAGCTGGGACTTTTGAAATGCTTTGCATTGAATCTGCAGACTGATTTAGATAACATTGTCATCTTAAAAAAATCTTACAATGCATCGATATTTATGTTCCATTTACTTATGTTTTCTTGAATTTTATTTCAATAATGTTTATATTTTCATAGTTTTCAGTGTACAAAAGCACTCCTTTTGTTAAATTTGTTCTTAAGTATTTTATTCTTTTTGATAATATAAATGGAATACTATCTTAATTTCATTTGTGGATTGTGCATTATTATGTGAGTAAAACTGATGTTTTTGTATCTTGATCTTATACATCACAACCTCATTAAACTCTAATAGTTTATTATTGTTTTTTGGGAGATTCTTTAGGCCTGTTTTTTTTTAATGTTATTTAAAGGAACAAAAACCAAA